CTCACTCACCTAATCATACCAATTCCCAGTCCGGTAGCTCAAAGGTCTGCAAAAAATCGATAAATCGCTATCGACCGATGGCGAAATGCAGTCTACGAGACCAGTCGGCCCCTAGAATGTGTTCAAAGTTTGGTTGGATTGGTTAAGAAATGCAGTTCGTTGGAAACATACGCGCTGACACATAAACACACAACATGACAAACGACATTAGCTTAAATTTAGTATGTTATAGATAAAATAATAATAACAGTTGAAATTCTAAAGTCTGTCAATCTCTCATGAAAGTCGTAGGCGTCTCCTTGCAACCATTCATCCTAGGTAGAGATAAAAAAAGCGTGGGTTATTCACTATTTCCAGTTCTAAAGCTGGTCAATTTTGCTACTCTCTCAATACCCTTAAATCTCTGCGTGCGCGCGTTGCCGCTGAATGCATGAATGAAATGAATAAGTGAATGCAACCAAAACCACCGACCCCTGTTGGAACAGACTGTTTTGTGAGTGCGACTCCGAACACCTCTTAACGTTGAAACCTTGGTAGATGAGATGAACAAAAGTAAAGTAGCAAGATTGACCAGCTTTAGAACTAGAAATAGTGAATAACCCGCGCTTTTATCTACCCTAGTGATGAACGGTTGCAAGGAGACGCCTACAACTTTCATGAGAGATTAACAGACTTTAGACTTCCAACTGTTATTGTTATTATTTATCTCTAACATACTAAACTTAAGTGAATGTCTGTTTACCATGTGTCTTTGTGTCTATGCGTATGTTCCCAATAATATTGCATCTCCGAACCACTGCAGACCAAACTTTGCACACAACTGTAGCCAAGACGGCATCGAACTGCATTTCATTAACGGTCGGTATCGATTTATCGATTTTTGCAAACTTTGAGCTATAAGTTTAAGGGGTTAGTCAGCGTGAGGGTTGGTTGGCATAGGGGTAAGAGTATGCTGTATTAAAATTATCAATTTACTATGTACATAAACATAATATCTGCAATCAGAGTGATCTGTAACCATTTGCGCTGATATTTGGCCAAAATATGCGATCTCAAATTGAACGAATTGAATTCATGGGGACATGAGTTCGTAAGCTGCTCACAGTTCGGCAATCACTAGAGATAAGGGCCTAGCTTAAGCATGCTTTAAAAACATTGCCTTTAGTGATTTCAAATTACAAAAGGAGCAGGTAAATTGCTTAAAAGAATACACGAGAAGGGCAGACACATTTAGGAACTTGCGTAGTATCGCAGCATTCCTCTCAGCATAACTCCTGCTAGAAAGACTTACGCTGCACAAAGAGCACTATTTTCATAATCAGCGAGTCCGAGAACCTCGGGCGAAGTTCGGTCAATCCTGGATCATCAATATTTTAGCCAAAACCCGTCGGCAAGTTTCAGAGCCTAGCACGAGAAAAAAATCAAAGGGCCCGAATTTCTTGGGAAACTTGCGCATAGAGGTTATCTAGCCTGCTGATCGCGAAAAACACTCGCTTTGCAAATTACCGTCTTACTGTATGGTTACGGTAGCTAAGATTTGAGAAACATTGATTTTTCAAAACTCCCGGCCTATCTTTCTCTGTGGAAAGGGGGTCCTCCACTGAGCGCTAACGCATGAAAATCTATGGGAACAGCTCTGTCTAATCATGTTTACCTGAATCTTTCATGTGTGTTCTTCGCTGAATTACACCACTAAGAAATTCCGTCCTCACACAAAAATCGATCAGACTGAAAACGGAATAGTTAGAGAGCGTAGTATATTAGAAGTTTCAACTTGACAAGCTGAACATCATGCTTTCTTCGGAATCGTATCTTATGCAATCTAAAGGAAGTTATGATGAAAAAACGAAAAAACGCGGGTCGTCAGTTTTTGCGTTTTCTGTCGAATAATTAGTGTGGGTACTGTACAGAAGGATTGAGCCATTGTGCACACTTCATTACATCGAAGGCACATAAAAGGAAGAGCTTGAATTAACTACTAGTTAGTCTTAAAAGACATGTACGTTTACGGATCCTATCCTCATCACCTTACCACTCGGGCAGATCTGTAAAGCTTGACAGAAATAGCATCACTTACTGTAGGAGCATGCGATGAATACAAAACAAATTAGAGAGGGTTCATGGAAGAAAAAGAAAAAGGAAGAAGCACAGGAGAAGTTCCACGAGGTTTCGGAGCATGTGTTCCTTGCGCCATGGAGATTTCACGGCAAATGATCTAAAGGACTCTCCGCTTTGGATTAGATCGCGATCCGCACCGCGCCTGTAAATACTCGCCTGCTTCGGGGCACTCATTATTGGACATCCGTTGGCATGTTCGATCGCCGCAACCACGCATTTTTGTGGAGTTATGCTATAGTCGCCCTCACCCCACTAGTCGGTCGGTGGAGGAATTCAAATTTGAATTGGAGCAGGCCTGTCACGGCAGAGCGCGGCAGGAGACAACGCTCAGCAATACAAAAACTCAATATAGGTCAAAAACGTTGTAACAATACAAAAACTGCTAAGCAATGGAGAAGAAATACGCAAAGTGAATGCGTGAATTTGAACGGAGAGCTAAGGTGCCGTGCTCTGCCGCGACCTGCCTGCTCCAGTTCGAATTCGAATTCGTCCACCGACCGACGGTGAGGACGACTATAACAAGGAAATGGTCAGAAATCAAAGTGGCCATTCCAAACAAGCTGCGTAGCCTTAGATGCAGCATGAAGCGCTGACTCTAAATCTGTCTTCTTTATCTGCTTATCGCTTTTCTGGACGAACTCATAAGCCATTAAAGGCCATTATTTTGCTTAGAAATTATGCGTGAAAAGTTAAAATTTAGCCGTACAGAGCCTCGTTCGCCTCAATGCTGGGCCAAAACATGCAGCTAGCTTACTTATAATTTTTGAAGCCAGAAGCCGAGCTAAAAGTACAACAATGTGCTCAATTTCGCTGTTTTTATGTATGATTTTTTCACAATAAAACCGCTTGTAGCTTCGTCCACAGAAGTAGGAAACAGATAAGGAAGACAGATTCGAAGTCAGCGTTTTATACTGCATCGAATGATGTGCTTCTTTGGTTTGGCCACTTCGACTTCTGACCATTCCCTTGTAAGTTGCAGCGCTGAACTTCTTATTACAAAAATTTACAACAATGTCTTGACATGCAAAACGAGTGCAGTACGTGATCAGGACTTCATATCCCTCTCTGCAAAGGGCAGATGTACGGCTTTGACTCGTTTCTGCATATCTGCCGTAAGTTCGCAAAAAGGTTTTCATTGTCCCAGACACTTGGATAGATCATTCGAGCCTTTGTACCTCCGAATGTGGTGTTCAAATTTCGAGCCATTCAAATAAATCATTTAGATATCCATTCAAAATTTCACGTTGTTTGTATTCGCATATCAAAAATTCTTCTTCTTCGAAATATACTCGATATTCGTTTATTCCAATTTTCATATTTCAATCATGGTCAATATCGTTCCAAAAAATTTGCAACCGTCACTTGCATGTCAGTGGTCGCTTTGTCTCTAAAATACATGTAAAGATTATAAAGGTAGAAGTCACCAAATCGAAAGCTATTCTTCCTACATAGCTTCCAGATGAATTGTTTCATTCTATTGATGAAGTTAGTTCCGAAACTAATTTAGACTCAATCTTTTTATTTTCTTTTGGGCATTTTTACCCCCGCTTAGTCAGTCCAGTTCTTTTGACACAGTGTGCTTACGGCGCTGAGATTTGCGGTTAGATTTGCGCGTGAACAAGACGCCAGCGGTGACGGCCTGAATACCTCTTCTTCTCGATTTTTGCAATTTTGAGCTACGATGAGATTTAGCACGGGGGGGGGGGGGGGGTAAGTGACATGCAGATTGCAATATGACAACCGTTTGTAGATATACCATTGCTTTTATAAAATTTATTTCTATTTTTTCGATTATCTATTCGGTTTTTTTTTTGCAAACTTTGAGCTACGGTGTTGTATTGGCTCGGGTAAGTAAGCATGCTGATCGCGGACGTAGCAAGCACCTGGAAGGTCTTCTGTTGCCTTCTTAGCTTTTATCGTTTTGCCCACTTTAGTCCACGGGCTAGGAGTATACAGGAAAATTTGTTGGGGGGGGGGGAAGTGGGAGCATGCTGATTACGACACTGGACGGAGCAGGGCAGGGAACTGACATGTGAAGGTGGGAAAAGGACTGGTGAAGTGTTAGAGTGGTGAGTTTATCATGTTGACTAGAACTGAGCGAAGCCGGGCACACCAGTTATACCCTACTACAATTAAGCTTGGCAGTGCCGTAGGTCCTCAGTACGACTATGTCGTTTTCGTCAAGTCTTTGGAAAGATAGACCATTTTGGAAACAAGGAGGGTTTTCTCAGGGGATCCTATCCCCCAGACGGACTCGCCAAGATTTCGAAGGGCTGCTTTAAAGCCAGAAGAGGCAATCTCAAAATCTGAGAGAAGTGTTGTATTTGTAAAGGGTCGATTTATGTGTGCACCCCGTTTTTTGTTTCCAAGTAGTTCCCTTCTGATTTTGTCTGAAAAAGTACGAGGCTCCCAGACTTTTATCCCACCCTGTAGTATCGATTTGATTGTTGAGCCACTCCCTGATGACTTGTCGCTTTCCTCTGGAGCTTGATGGGGGACCACAATCTATAAGGCACCAAAATTCCAAGCTTTCTCTCGGATCACAAGCAAGCTGCCACACGCGACTCTTTACTATCGCCGGGGAAATTATATAAATAGGCGTTGACTGATCGACTGCTTGAATGATTGAACATGTCTGCACATGCAGAAAGTCTGTTCTAAATACGGTGCGAGTTAGCTATTGATAAAGAGGCATTCTTCTTTGTGATTCATTTTGAGGTGTTTGAAACGAATCCAAAGCCTTCAAAGTTTTGCGAGTAGATGTTTGAGGTCCACGCTCACAGAAGCTCAGGCGATTCCGAGAACCAGCGTGTAATTTACACTACCTATTATCAAACTGTCACACGTGCAGCAATGGCTCACCATAATATTCACGTTTCCAGGTAACAGCTATTCTTGGACTTACACATCAGACAATTTTGGCGGAGTTTTCGTGGACATCATTGACAACGATATTCATTTGTGTATTGCCACTAATTTATGCTGTCAAAGAAGTAAGCTTAACCTGCTACCCGATCTAAGAATAAGATAGAAGTCAGCTGCAGAGAAGTGCGCATCAGTTTGATCAATCGCATCATCGTATTTACACCTATCAAACTCTGTAGTGTACCCTCATTCAAGCAAAGAAATGTTTTCCTTAAGCCAAAGAGTCATAGTTTTGCAGCAAAAAGAGACTTTCAAAATCTATTCGTTAAGGAAGCGATAATTTAGACTCAAATGATGAAGCAATACTTCTTTTCAATCTTTGTAACAGTACTTTGAAAGTTGTCGTCACCCTCACATGCTTTCTGCAGGAACCTCTGCAACACAGGAATCTGGTCTAACGCAAAATAGAAAAAGTCGCAGAAAGCAGAGGACGGAAAATTAGTTTAAGTCGAATTTGATCTAGTTTGTGATGCAAAGTCATCGGCTAAATGGCATTTTGTGGGATGTAAAAAAATGAAGCAAAATGAACATTCAAAACACATTGTGAGGTTAGGTCTAATCTAGCTAGAAACTGGCTAGTTTGATAGGAAACTCTACAAGAATGGGTAAACGGGCTGGGACAAGCTGAAAATGGTTTACCAGTGCATTTTTATATAGAGAACAAATCCCCGAGTAGGATACCCTATCGCACCGCATGGACTTCGTCCAATTTACTTGCGTTTCATTCGCAAAAAGCCAATTTTCAATAGACTTTCCTGTATCACTCCTTGGAGTGGAAATGGATAAAGGCTGCTTCTGGCAAAACTGGGGTTGTGGGGACTTTTTCTTGAACCGTAGTCCCGAAACTGAGCTATTCAGCTTGATTTGAGAGGGTGGAGGGAACTACTTTGGAAAAAAAGCAAAGAAGTGTCTGGCCCTTTTCCATGTATTGGCCCAGCTGTATTGGCCCTAGTCCTTCTACACGGCACATCGCGCGATTTCACCACCTCGCGTCTTTCGGCAATAAAACTGTTATGGGCCGTCCGCGCTGCGCACGGATAGCAATGCTGTTGCGTACATTGAAGGCAGTTCACGACTGGAAGAAGCGCAGAGAGAACAGGCGGAGAGAATGCACGAAGAAAGAGGAGTGATGCGCAATACACAACTTGCGCACTCTCCGCGCCCTGCGCGGACGGCCTATAAGATTAGGGTCAAGCAGGAGATGTGGCACACGATCCCTGGTTACGACCCTTCTCAATAAGACCCCCTGAACTATATACCTGAGATAGCATTACCTGAAGGCCCTGTCAAACACAACGGGCAACATATCCATAGTTAACATTCAATTACCCCCCCCCCCCCCCGTAGACAATGTTTGAGCGAATTCTGAAGTTTCAAGATACTGGGTCACCTAAGTGAAATCGCCAGTTTCCAGCATGAATAATTTTGTTTCAAAGGTGAACTAGCTAGTTTTGCACTCAGGACAAAGCACTACTCCTTTTTTGACCATTTCAAAAAATCTTGCTTCAAAAGACCTTCTAACTTTGGAATTAGAAGCCAACCAAAATCTTGAATTTCCTATTTTTCTCTTTCAATGGTTGTGCTTTCACCAAATATTACTCAGAGCTATGAAGACGAATAAGGCTCAAATCACTTCTACAGGATCTACGAGGTTTAGGTTATCGAATTTATAAATAACGTTCGCTAAAAATGTTTTTGATATATTAATGGGGTGTGGCACCACCCCTAAAAAGCTGTGGCTGCCACAGTTAATGGGGTGGTGCCAGACCCCATCACCTTACTTTCAAACAGGTCAAATAGCTCCTTTTTTTATATCGTTGTTACTGCTTAACCTTCTTCTTTACATAGCAGGATTTTCATATGAAAGCGTTTCTTCAAGAGCAAAATATAATCGTTTTAACGCAAGAAAAGTAGTTAACTTATCTTTCGAATAAAGTAACATGTTTGAAAACGACCATCTCGCTTAGGTGGTCCTGTATTTGGAAACCTCAAAATTCGCTGAAACTTAGACTACAGGGATTATTTCACTTGCTAATCACAAAACGATGCTCTTATGCTTTATAGGTCTTTAACTATGCTTACTGTACGTATACAATAATGGGTCAAACATCAATGTGCTAGTACTTTGCATGACGAGCCTATTTGATATTGTTAACGAATATCATGTTATGCAAACAGCGGACGCTTTGATAACGACCCTCCCCCCCCCCTCCCTGATTCTTTAATACGACCCCCAGGTGTGGCATGCCACACCTCACGCTTGGCCTTGGTTAAAATTCATTACATGCCAGTCATAATAGCAGATTAGTTGTAACAAGCCAGCTAGTCGCCGTAAAAGATCACAACCATGCAAGATGATCGGCATGCGATGGACCCGTAACAATTGTCCTGTTGAGAGGACTTGATAAATTAAGGCTTTTGGTTTATTAAGAGGATTTTGTCCCGTAATGTGTGACGGTTTTTACTCTCTCGGATTACTAAAGTTTATCCTTGTGACAGCATAATGTCTGAGAGAATGGGTATACAGAGGCTAGAATAAGTGAGGAGATATACATTTTATGGTCTCGCTGGTCGAGCTTCGGCAGCCTTTCTTTGTGGCTGGCTGGCTGCTTTTTGGAGTAAAAAGTTTTGTTTTGCCCCACAATTTTCATACAAAACGGTGAAAATCACAATTTCGACAGAATTTACGCCACAGCCACGGCCTCCAACCACCTCAGCTTTTGCTTTCAAATTCTGGGATTTTTCCCCTATTGTTTGATTTCCAAGGGTCAATCATCTTTGCTTGGGAGTCCTTTAACTTGCTCTTGCTCCTGGAGTGAACACCCAGCATCCATCTGCATTGGTCAGCCTTGTTAGGGAAGCGATTATGTTCATTTTAACTAAGCAACGAAGGAAGCAAGCTGTATCAAATAACTGAATTCCGGTGATTATATTTGGATGGAAGGATCAGAAATTTTTTGTGTTCTACCTGCGAAGTTTGATTTTTCATTTATTTAACTTCTCTAGGGAGGAGATGTGAACACCGTTTATAGTGAGATGCAGTTCAACTGAGCATCTTAGATAGAAAGCTGAATGTGTGTCTGTTTGTATGTATGTATATGCGGAATAGAAATTTTTATTTCTGAACCGATGACCAAACTTGGCACACATATGCTTTGGGACAGGGAGCGTATCAAAGGCTACTTTTCGTTATTGATCGATATCGATTTTATCGATTTTTTTCAAAATTTGAGCTATAGGGCTGGGAGTTGGCACAGGGGGGCGGGGTAAGTGAGCATGGCGATTCCGAATACAATATTAGTTTTCAGAATCATCGACTACTTTTATCGATTTTATCGATTTTTTCAAAATTTGAGCTGAAGGAGCTGGTAGTTGGCGGGGAGTAAGTGAGCATGCTGATTTCGAGAACAACACAGGGAACGGGAAATGAAGTGTGGAAGTGGGCACAGGAAAAGGCTGTACAGGGATAGGGATGGGACCTTTGATGCAGTGTTTCGACAGAGCCAGTGAAGCCGGGTAAGCAAGCTGGTGCATATATAAGAGCTATTAGATGGGAGCGGTCAATAATGAGATCTTCTTATATATGACCTAAAAACATTCGACATGACAGTAAAAATGCTTGTCTCCCAGCCTGACGCATTTTCAGCGTTGCGAAGGGAAAGTTGTTACAGTGTAAAAGCGCAGACATCACATTCTTCGCAGAGATGTGGATCGTGAGAAGATGGGTACAACGGTGAAGTCTTAAGGCGCAAAGCTTGAGACGAGATACATAGGTAACCTGATCGCCGACAGCAACGCCAAATGTATTTCGAGACTACTGTAGCCCGTGGCTCTCCTCCATTTTCGACAGTGAGCATGTCATCGACGTAATACTCGCCGGACAACTGCATCATAATATCTCTTTCTGCTATGAATATTCTCAGTTCAAAATCACGGCTCGACCCAATCTTCAACTAATTTTCATAGGAAATATTCAGAGTTCTCCATAGTTTAACAGTTTTTCAAACAAGAATCTTGCTTTTCTACTCATGTGAAATTTCGACAAAAATCTTGATCTGAAGAGTATTTCAACAGCGAAAAACCGCTGTGGTCCCGTCGGTTGAGCTTAGGTAGGCTCTTTCTGTGGCTTATCAGTTTTCGAGCCAGAAGTTTTCTTTTTTCTTACAAAAGTCATGAAAATTAGTCCTCGATTTCGAAAGAATTTACACCAGAAAAAAATGCATTTGCTTTCGGAGCGAAGACCCAGCATGACAGCTGTGGCCTCGCTGGTTGAGCTCTCTATGCGGTGATGGGGGCGTATCGTTACGTGCGGGCTGCCAATTGGAAAACGTCGCGTGCGACAGGCAGCCAGCATTATCCGCAGCACATAGTTTTTCAGTTCATCATCCTTTGTTGAGGTTCACAGACTGTTCACATATTAGTTTTGCTTAATTATTTGAAGTTCTGCCACAAAAGTTGTGAAATGAGCTCTTTGAAGGACAAAAGAGACTCAGATCGAAGAGGGTAAAAAACTAGCAATCAAGAAGAAGCATTGGTAATCTAGTGGTATAAATCTGACAAATTTTCTGCACTGCTGCTCCCCGCGCGGCTACTGTAACGTTGCGACGTTTTCTATTTGGCAGCCCGCACGTAACGAGCGCCCCCCTGCGGTGATCAGTTTTTGGAGCAAAATGTTTTGTATGCGTATGCCGCAATGTTATAACTCTATGAGTTGCCCTAGTCTGCGTCTACAACTTTGGCGGGAACGGTTCCACTCGTTCATAGAAATGTTCGTTTCTGCCTTCTGCGCGAATATTTTCTGGGATAAAGATGGGCCGAGCCACGCTTAAAGGCAGTGGCTCAGAAAAATTGCAGCTGCGCGCTTTCTGTTCCTTCTCGGCCTTCTGGATGCGTTTAGAGCAGAGCTTGCTTGAAAAGTCAATAAAGTGTTGCTTTCTGCATTTTCCGGCCTTGGAGATTGCTGAGGAGGCTAGAGCGGAGAATCCCGCCAGAAACAGTGACTGGATGCAGGAGACTGTAACACCACTCATTTCGGCGGTTGATTGATTGGCCTAGGCAGCCAATCGCAACCTGGCTGCGGGAATCTCTGCTCCAGCCTCCTTTGCAATCTCCAAGGAAAACCGGAAAACGCCATAAAAAGCATTTTTTTGACTTTTTAAGCACAGCTCTGGTCTAAACGCATCCAGAAGGCCAAGGAGGAACAGAAAGCGCGCACTTGTGATTTTCCCAAGCCACTGCCGTTAAGCCTGAGAGCACCCAGTTATGAGGTTAAGGAGTAAATACAAAAAGACTTTCATTGCACTCTTATGAACGGCTTTACTGAGTTTGCCGAATTCGACTTTGAAGTCATAACCACTGATAAACGATTCTTTCAGGTGGCAGCCGGTAGGCGCAAGAAGGCTGTCATGGCCAGTCTATTTCGTTCAACGGACCGATGGGGTCCCCTGTCCATTCAGCATCGTAGAATGGCAGAGTTTGATGAGAAAGCCGCAAGGATTACTGTATGATTGAAGTACTCATTAACACTTGAATAATTAATATGATAATTTTGTAAATGATGTTTTTGGAGCGATTTGAAATTTGTTGTCTTTTAAAAATGATTAAATAATTTTAAACCTTTCGTCTGCAGATGTTCGGGATATCATTTCGCGCCTCAAAATTATACACTTACAAAATTGATCAAATTTCTTTTGTGACTCTCAAATACCCTCCACTCCAGGGTTCCGGTGGCAGAAACATAGGGGATGGGGTTCGCGGCCAATACGATCCAATGCCTTGTATTACATGAAGTAGGCGAAGGGATTTTATTTGCGTTTCGCACGTATTGTCGCCTCCAAGTACACTTCCTGGGGACGGCCCCTTTCAGACATTTGGTATAGCGCCACTGATTGGTCAACAGGTCAGCTATCTTACACGCTTCAAACCACGTAGGTTCTCCGCTGACTGTGGATGCAATCGACCCTAGATATCAACCCATATTTCTTCCCTCAATAAGACGTGGATTACGTGACTTGGTGAGGGATCCCCTCGCTTCGGGCTTGCGCGACGTTGCGAGCGCATCGTTTGGCGCGGTGGCGCTCGAAACAACGTGGTGCAGGCTTTTCCACGTTGTTCTTGTTGCCAAATCACGCCGAAGATGCGCACGCAACGTGGCGCGAGCCCGAAGCGAGGCGGCGCCTCGTCAATCCACGTAATCCACGTCATGTTGAGGGAAGACATATGGGTTGATAACGAGGGTACACACTTTATTGGCAGCGCCGCACGCGACGAGACGAACCGCGCGAACTGTATAAAGGAGCCTACCCTAGACCCAGCACAGATGTACTGAAGTCCAACTACACTTCATTCTGCAGCAAGCAGCGAATCGCAGAACATTTTGAACATACAAGCGAATCGCGGAACATTTTGAACATACATCACCTCATGATTTTTTTGAATTCGTTCTCGCTGAAGCTTTTCCCATTGAGCAAACTTCTGCAACAGGTAGTTTTTTTTCCCAAAAGTTCTGTACGCCCTATCCCATTTAATGATCAAAGAAAAATTAAGGTGATTTTGTGAGGAAACTGGAGACTTCGTTTTCAGCGCTACCCCTGATCCTCGTGATCTATGCCACACACGGATAACATTGCAACAGCATTTGGCCTCAGATAACCACACGCTGTAGTCGAGATCCATTATTTAGAATCGATAAAGTCCTTAACGCTGCTTTGGAGCCATACTGGACAACCTTCGCCTTGGGCGCACGCGCGCTATCCTGCTTGAAGCACGTCTTCCGTCAAAATGGGTAATGCTCCGAGTCAACTGCTCCGAGTCCGAGTCCCTTCTTCGAGATGCTAAGTACGTAGCAGTGTCCGCTTTAGTGCTCTGAAGCAAAAAAATCAGCGGCACCTTGCTTTCAAAAGCAAACGCCGCCTACACCATCAGGAGCTGTCTGAAGCTTACCATCTCCGAGTCGATTATAGTCGATCACAGTAGATTTCCACCCGCTTTAGGTGGAAATTGGATTGGCGGGCGTCCGCCTCGCAAAGGTTCGCGCCATTTCGCTGCTACAGTATGTCATATCGTGCTGAGAAAATCCAAGTCTGCGCCTCTTCATTCTCCTTAGTCTTTGCTTGGCAAAATGCCAGCGCTATGCGCTCGCGAAGCCTCCAGCGATGCGCACGCGCTGTTCCATATCTGCATCCAACAGGGCTTCATCACAAGGTTCAGTTAACGCCCGAGACGATCCTACACCTAATATACAGACCTAATATACAGCTCTGATGCCAGCTCAGCCAAGCTCCTTTGGGGATCGCGACATATGCGTTTGCGTTTTTCTTTACATATGCGCAGAGTGAACCAGACTATGTTCCGCGAAATTTCGAGATTCAGCGATCTGCTGTTGAGTCTTCAAGTTCATGTGCATCTTCACGATGAGTTTACGCTCTTATCGAAAAGCATAATTCTGTAGAAATAAAGTTATCAAACCAATTTTCGGAGGGTTCTTATAGAGCAGTATAACAAGCAGAGACATAAAATTGACAGACAAGAATACAAGCCGAAGATAGTCCAAGATACAACGACATCAGAAATTTTTCATGGACTTCCCCCGCCCCCTGTACTTTTGATGAGTCTTCTAATTAGTGACTTCTGCCATATTATGTACATCGGCTTCTTCTTTTTTATAAGCCCACCATTGTGTAGCTCACTAGCTATCAATGTTGTACTCCAGGAGGGTAGAAAACTATACGTCGCCAAAAAAAGGGGGGGGGGGCAGGGCCCGGCACGAGGTGGGCAAATGACAAGCTGGAAATCGTTTTGGGGCCAAAAAGCAAAGGGGATATCGTTTTTGCGGGATCCGGGGCGGAGCCGCGGAAGAAGATTCCAAGTGCAAGCAAAAGAAGCTCGAATCATGCTTACCTTTTACATCTAATTCATTGGGAGATAGTTTTCATAAACCTTAACACACAGCAGAGTTCGCGCGCGCTACGCCGCGTTGCCGCTAATTGCCGCGTGTGCGACGTCGCATGAGCGATGCTGTTGAATAGCATGATTAGATGATCAGTTCTCAATTCAGGAGTAACGATATAGCACCAAACTATGTAAGCGAACGAGGAGAGGGTAGTAGAGACAAAGTATGAAGTATTATGAAGAACTTATGTGAATGGGAGGAGTAACAAGCATTTTTTCCAAAAAATTTGCAAAACTGGTAAATGAAGATGTGAATTCAAATGGCTTGTTTGCAGCGCACAGATGACCATACGGTATGAAACTTGGTAGATACATGAACACGGGCCTGCAGGGCTTATCTTAGAGGTTTCATTGAAAAATTATGTGAATGAAGGTTGTGGCAAGCTTTTTTCTGAAAATTTCCCGCTATCACAAAAATGGAAAAATGGCTCGTTTGCAACGCAGAGGTGACGAAATCGCGCGGGACTCGGTGTATATATGCGCAATAGGACTAAGTAACAAAGTATGAAATATTATGAAAAACTTATGTGAATGAAGAGCGTGCTTAACTAATTTCCAAATTAGGTCGGCAATTGCCGACCTAATGCCCACCTGAGGTGGGCAAAACTCTCAATTCACATAATTTTTTCAAAATTTTTATATAAATGTGTTCACCTAGAGTTTACTATATGTTGAGATTTTGGTTCCGAAACTCCTCCTCTTGTCTTGGTTAGAGCCCAAAATCGCATCAGCAGCCTAGCTTTCTAAGATGGAAAGCGCGCCACAGTCAATCGATACGCGCGGGAACGGCGTCTCTCAGCCCTATGACTGCGTTACTTTGATACTTTTTCACTCCTTCATCATTTTCCTTGTCTATTCTTCTTCCCGTTTTCTATCTTGATACAGGTGAGGAGTAATTGAAGGAATTTGAGCATTTTGGGTACTTTTGAGCGCTTTTAGGCGAAGTGTGGCCGGTGTTCTCGTTGCACAAGCACAAAGCGTCATTTTTGGGCTTAAGGTGGTATTCGTGAAAACTATTGGGATCAAAGGGGAATTCGTTTTGGAAAACCCCGTTTGCCCACCTCGTGCCGGGCCCTGGGGGGGGCAGTCATTTGCAACAAATACGCATCCTTGCACATGCAAAGTGCGTCTTTGTAAGAACTCCGCACTTACTAATATTCGGCCACTCCAGGATCCAGCAGCGCTTTGGATCACTACTCAATTCTGGTAAGGAGCTTCCATTGCGCTCTCATGCAAGCGTCGCTCTTGAGCTTTCACGCTGCGGTATGCGTCTCATCTGGATGACCTTGCCATCCTTCCCATACTTGGGCAGTTGCCGAACATTTTAAACGTCTACCTATCAGTAGCATCTCATTCTGCGAGATTAACCCGATGAAGTCATCGAGCTGTTGCAAGAATGCTTTTCTTGTTGTTAGCTTCGCAGTCTGCTTGTGGTCGTACGCCGTTAATTTCTGTATTTATTTTTGATTCCAGTAAAGTCCATTCTATCTTTTGAATGCGCCGTCCACCCATCTGAAGTAAATTTTGATGCTGCACAGTAGCGCGAGAAAAGTGCCCCCCAAGATGGACGCTGGTGGGTGGTCTGCGCATGGAGGAAACCTACCCCACCATACCTCATCAAAAATGTTTTCGAGAAAACGCTTTTGAAAGTACGAAACGGATTTTTGTTACTTCTAAATAGTGGTGTCTTCAGGCCACTCACAGTGATGGGTGTGAGACGCCACCAGCACCCACTTTTTAGAGTGGTTTTCTCACTTCGGGATACAACCTGTGCAGCAGAACCTCGCTACTGCAGGGTGTATACCAAGAGGCGCGATTTTTATTGCCAATATCAAATAGCACATAGTAAGTGTTTTACAACTTTCTAAAAGTATATGAAATTAGAAAAAGATATAGTGGATAGTTCAATGGGTTGCTCAATCTTGATACTCTAGAACCCTCGAGTCATATCTTTTACTGATATGCATAACCTCGCTTGGTTCCGCCTATTAGAAGCAGTATTCTACCATTGCTCAATTGAAGGTACATTGATGTCTCAATAAAGCTGTTATAAGCTTATGTGTCCTGTATAGACACAAAAGAGCCACCAAACTTCAACTACCGGCTTTTTATAAGACTGGTCAGCCACCACATCTTAGACTTTACCTAGGAGTGGTAATATAATAAAAGAAAAACAAAGTATTAGATTGATGAAATGGAAAGAAATGGCCGATTTCCAAGCCTTTTTTCAGGGAAACCTTTTTCCATCAATACTTCTTTTCAATGGACGTAGCATATTGTCGTGAAGCTGTTTTCATGTTCTATCTAACGGTGCTTGAAACGGGCTCTCATCCTCATCTTTTATAAAGTTACTGAGCTTCAAATAACCGCATCCGAATTCAGGATTTCATTGCATTCATTTTTCCGGCCAGAATTCAAGCGCGTATCAATGGGATTTCCTCGAAAAATTAGCTATTATACATGTAATAGAAAATTTCTACATTGTTCATACTTAACTGCATTCTTCGAAGTTATCCAAACTGAGATATGGGCGCCTAAACATGGGTAGCTGTTGAGGTCATTTTATGACCCATAATTTTCTTCTGAGGAAGTCAGTCGCCGAAGCTTCGCTCAATTCCGTAAACGTAAAGCTAGGAC